CATCTCAAATATATCCCATAAATTAATAGGATAATATTCATAAAGAGACCAAAGCATCAAATATTGTCTTTGTCAAAGTCACTGTCTTTCATTCCTAGCAGTCAAATATATATATTGCAAGAAGGTCTACGTCATCCTCATTCGAAAAATACACCATCAACCATTTTGGATTTATGATTTTTTTTTTTTTGAGAAAAACAGTAAGAAGTGAACAAAATTATGCCACACTATATATTACACCAACACTATTTTTTAATACTAATTTTGTAATTATTTTTTCATATTTTATTTCTGAAGTTTATTTCCCCTACATCAAAAATTATTATAAACAATCATATTGTGTACTGATCCCTAGATCTGTTCAAGTTTGTTGTGTTAAACTGACCCAAACATACATAATCAGACTTTGCTAAAGTAATTTTTATCCTTAAGGAATATATACCTCCAAATTAAATCCATGTTGCACCCAGTAGGATTGATACCAATATTCAACATATTATTATTTTTTATTTTTACTTTTTATATAGGATCTTATTCACACACCTGATATTTTTATGATAATCTGTAATGGTCCCGTTGGCACATCATATATCAATTATTGGCCTTGTAACTCGAGTTTAGCAAAACAAGGGAAATTTGGATGCTTCTTTCTTTAATCATATAAAGATCAGATTTATAATTATATTTTCACGGTTCCAAGACTTCAATATTTCTTGCTTCGAATATTTCCTGAAATATCCACGTCATTCACATGGTAGATGGATCCATATGATATGTTCCTTCGAACAAAAATAGGACCTCTCTAATTCTTTTACGAAATATTTTACTATTATGGTTGTATTTGATACGAAGAAAAATATTTTATTTTTAAAAATATAATTTATTACATATATTTGGTAAGGGGGTTAAAAATTTTTTGTAATGGAGGTGGTCGAATCAATATTATAATCTAATTTAACTTTACAAATTAGTCAAATTGACTTTTGAAAAAGCGAAATAAAAATGTTTTTATCACTTTTCGTATAGTTTTTAAATATCTATAAATTTTCAAACCTCTTAATGAAAGTCCTAAATTTGCTACTCAAATTATGGAATCATAACTCATGAAAGTCCTAAATTCGCCATTCAAATTATGGAATCATAACTTATGAACTTTATGGTGATGAACGTGGACATTTCCTCACACTAATATTATATATTTCTTAGGGATGAATCTCTTAGATATGTTTAATACGATTATCCCCGCTAGAATGTGGATATTTTCTTGATCAATAAAGACTCTTCCCTTTTCTGCTACCATTCTCATTTTTATTTTTTCTAATAACATATATATTCCATTATTAAATGATGGAATAAAATAAAGTTATAATATTAAAAGAAACAGATTATAAAGGTAGAACTTGATCCTCCTTCCATCTTGCATAACTACCGACACTGGTTAAGAGAGTAAGATGGACAAACAAAAGAGATTAAGACATCAAATATCGTTTTTGTTAAAGTTGATGTCTTGTGGTTTATAGCTATCGAATAATACATCAATTACAAGAGGTTTACATTACCATAGTTTGAGAAATATGATCGATCACGGGAACATAATTGTATCCACATCATTTATTAATAAAATATTTTTTTATTTCTTAATTGTTGCAAACAACATATTGTGTACTGATCCCTCTGTTCAAAAGTTGGTCGTTGGTTAAGCTGACCCAAACATACTCTTAATATTGTTAGAAAATAGGATTTGAAAGAAGATGAAATTTAATAATCTGACTTTGCTAGAGTAATCTTTATCCTTATGAAATTTATACCTCCAAATTAAAGCCATGTCACACTACCATTAAGTGTATTCATACTCCTTATTTCTTATTTTTCACGTAGGACTTTGTTCACACACCTTATTTCATTATTAGGTATAAGCAAACGCTCCAGATAAGGAAAGACAATTTATTTAGAAATCCATGCTAAAATATAGATATAGCTTAGCAGGTGTTTATTTTAATTTACAACATAACATATATAGTAGCTGCTAAAACATATAGTCTAGCTAGCAGGCAGACATTTGTTATTACTGGACTTGCTTGAAGGAGACATCAAGAGGATTGTCCTTGACAAGAGCCAAACGTCTTTTTCCATTTTGGTGAACTACACCAACTTTTAAACAGAATTGATCATCAGAGGAAAATGGACAACTCATTGTACTAGTAACAGGGCAATACAATAAGTTGTAACCAAATTGTGATGATTTAACAATCTTGAACCAACTGCTATCTGCTTGACCTATGGTTCCTCCAGTCTCCAACAACATCGTCCCTAGAGATGCATCGTAATCTCCCACTTTCCAAATTGTATAACTAACACACAATTTCGATGTTGAAATAGCAAATTGGATGTTGAGTAGTTCATTTTCAAAGATACCTTGTCCAAAATGACTAGATGAACCAATGAATCTAACGGGTGTACCGCTAGGTCCAACATCCGAATTGTAACGGAATATGCCATTTGCACAAGGGGCATCTGAATTTGGGGACTTACCTAGGTACACATCACCACCTAACGCACCCCAAAAAGTGGAAATAATACGATAACTCAAACGAGAATCAAGTTCTTTACCAGCTACGTCAAGTACTGGAGTAGCATCACTAGGTAGGTTAATGGGATTTTTGGAAGTGAAAGTTGATGAAAACACCACAATGGGAACCAAACACAAACATAACAAAAATAAACACTTCATCTTGTTTAAGCTACTAATTTTATTTGTGTATTGCTTGTTTGTGACTCCTCTACACTAACGAAGCCTTCTATTTATAGACTCATCACACTCTCATATTCCTTGCCATGTATTAAAATTGACTAGAGTTCCTTATTGTGGTTGTTATTACCCGTAAATTACTTAAATGGTCATTCAATTATAATAAATTCCTTATCAAATATTATTATTTTCTTCGTCTCAGTTTGTGTTGCACTTTTCGAATTTAGAGAATTCAAATAAGAATTTCTTTGTTAGTAAATTTTTTTCTTTGTGTTTTAATATCTTGAATTATTAAATATTTGTGATTTATATGTACTTTTTATGTATTCTTCAAATATGTATATTTTATTTTAATTTTTTAAAAAAATTTCATGTCTAAATTTACGATTAAAATTAAACTATTTAACAAATTGGACATGAAGAATTATAATCATGATGAAATATGTCTTCTTGTATCAAAAAAATTCATCAAGTCAAGGAGTTTATCTACCGAGTAATTATAGATAGAAACAAAAAGAGAGAAAACATAAATCTCCCTTTGATTTCTTTCAACATACCTCCTTTCCTTTGTGCTTATGCTTACCTCTTTTATTTTAATTTTTCAATCTAATTGTAATTTATATAAGAAATATGATTTAACTAATTTATCCTTTATGATTTTTCAAAATTAATATTATAAGATTTTTTTTCTTTTCAAAAAGCACTTTTAATTTTTGAGGAAAAAAAAACAACCTTTTTATCTTTAAAAAAATCTTTTGCTATTCTCCAGAAGCCCCTTAATTATTTTCTTTCAAAAAATTATCCAAACACCTTACTTTTTAAAGATAAATATTTTATGAAGGAAAAGGCCTTTTTACCTCTCGGAATTTACTAAACAATTTATAAGGCTCGTTTTGAATCATATTTTTTTTTTCTTAGAAAATATCATGTCTAGTCACTAGTGTAATCTAAATTGAAAGGGAGAGAGAGTAATCTTTGTGTCCAGTTTATCCTGTATAGTTTTAATCTTATCAAATCTAAGGGTCAAAATCTACTTAAAGAAAACACCTCATGAATCATGATTAAACTAATTAAGAGATCTATATTTTTTACATTCCTTATTGGCAGCGTATTTGTTGGATGGCAAGATAGAAATATCCAAAACTATTGTTGTAGGGATTTCTTTTTGGATTTTTTTTTGGGAAGTATTGAATTACATTTTAAAACTAAAATTTATATATTTAAAGCTATACATAACGTATTATAAGTTTGTGATTTTTTTCATATTAGTGTGATACAAATATGCATTTTAACATCTTAGTAAAAGTTCATATAATTTGACTTTTAAAAAGCAAAATGTAACAAATATTTTAGGATGGAGAGAATATATAATTCCCCTTTTGGTCATTCCTCATCCCTGTTAACATTAACCTTCTTATAAACTGTTAGTGAAAAATTACAATATAACAAAATTGCAGGATTACAACTGAAAACAAAATGAAGAAATAAAAATCTATAAAAATCTCTTCATTCTGAGGCGTGGATATTCCGCTCTCTTTAAAGAGATTCACGTCCACTGCAACAAATGTTTTTCACCAGTCCAGCAGCAGTCCTTCTTGATTTGTCCCCTCTCGGATAGAACAACCTAATCACAAAGTATAACTCAACAACTCTGGACAAGAGTTGAGTTCAAAGCTCCACAAAAAGAACACATCCCTTCAACTAATAATAACTCTCTTTTTGACAAACTTTATGCACTCTATATTTTTCTTGTGTATCTTTTTTTTTTTTCTTAACTTAATGATATTAACAACCAAATGGAGGGGGACATAAAGCCTAACCTCCTTTTACATCTTAGGACAAGAAGATTCTGTCCTATTAAGGTTCTGATCCAGAAATCTTAACAAAACAAAACAACTATACTAATGCATTTAAACTAGAATTGTTAATGCATATAAATAAAAGTATTCAAGGTGGATCAAAATGCCAGGTATTAGTCTTCTTGGCTCTTCTTCGAAAGGTGGGAAAATCCAATTTAAGCTTCCAAGTTGTTCCTGATGGCGTAATCTATTTGATCATCTTACATGTAATCACTGTTTTGAAGTTCTCGGTCATAAGACAAACTCTGCTCCAATTCCCTTAATCTGAAACAAAGATTGAAAACAGAGATTTTTCTATTCTCGTATTTTTGAGTGCACCTTGCTTTCCAAATTTCTCAGCACGTACACTATCATCGGAGTAGAAATTTATGGATGATATTCTTTGAGTTGTTGTCTCCACCACTGCCAGATGATAGCTAGCATTTATTATATGCCCTATGTTAAGTCCCAATGGCCTAAAGATGATGTCCCACGTATGTTTGACCATTTCACTTCCTGCAAAAACATGGTCAGTTGTTTCTTGACCACCTTCTTTCATAGAAAACACATATTCTCCCAAGAAGACCAGTGATAGCTATTCTTACCATCTTTTTCACCCCAGAAGAAATTTACAAATTAAACTGCATTTCAATTTCTTTAAGAACAGTGACAGGAGGCAGCAAAAGTAGGGTTAATACCTCAGATGGTCACTCAACTATCTAGTCTTTCCTCAGAAAGTCACTCACATGGTGATTTTTTAGTGAAAATTAAAAGTTGAGTGACTTTTTGAGGCAAAAGTGGATAGTTGAGTGACCATCTGAGGTATTAACCC